CGACGAGGCATCTCTAAAAGAAAGGGAGGAAAAGGTGTTCTCTCTTGAAAACCTGAGGAAGTTCCCCGAGGGTTTAAATCAAGACGTACCGACCGGATGACACCACCGTTCAAATCGGAAAACAAGAAGGCCAGGAGGACGATAAAGAAGAAGGTTGTGAAACTCACCAGAAGACGTCGGAAACGGAGTTTTTCAGGAAAAACTTTGAAAACGACTCGCACCGGAAGGACCAGGAGTCAACAATGGGTTTACTGACTGTGATTTTAAGAGAAGATGCTGTCGATGATGGCTGAGGAAACAGAAACTCCGGCGAAGCAGATCAGAAAAGGCGTATTCTGGGTCAGAGATCGGAATGGCAAAACAATGGAAACCGGAGAAGAACCCCCTTTATATAGGGGGGAAACTGTCATCATTGGGCGGGAGAACCAAAACGGCGCATTTAATGCGCACGACATCCCAAGACGGGGAAAGCTGCTCGAGGCCATAATGAAGGACGGATGGCAGTTGGAAAACCCTTCGTCTCCTGACAACGCGTGTCCTCGGCGTCAGAAGATCGAAGGCTGGGGGGCAGTTGATGGGACTCTTCTGAAAAAGCCTATGATGAAGACACGTGTCCTCGGGGGTTTCTAGAACAATGTTGCTCGGGTTCAAGCACCATCGGCAAAAGCGTCCTCTCCCCCGAGGTACCTCTCATATAGGATCACATATTCGGTACATTATACAATGACATGTGTCCTCGGTCGTCATGTACCTCGGGAACACACCACCCCTGGTCCCCCGAGGTGAGCCTTTCCTCGGCGCCGAGGGTCACTCCATCCTGGACGCTTCCTCTACTCCCGGATAAAGCTACTGACAAACTGGACATCAGCCTATGCCAGTATGGACTATTCATCATGACCTCTTCTTACACAAGTAATGTCAGAACGTGCTGGAATACCGACGTAACAGCCAATAAGGGATGGACGCGTGGCAAATAATGTCACATCCGAAGCAGACAAACCGCATGCCGCTGCTGGCACGCGACTTGGGAAAGCAAACAATTAATTACACCCTTCTGTTGACGAGACCGCATTTAATGCGGTAAGGTTCGGATATGAAAGGCAATAAATGCTCCTATTACAGAGCATTTATTGCATCCTTCCCGAAAGGAGCATATTGTACCGTCGGCGTCCCGACAACTCACCACTGATTGCTTGGGACCCCGAGCAGTCAATTAGAGAAGACATTTCTCATCAAATGATTACACACGCTACATGTGCCTGATGATCACCTACTGACCACACTGACAGCAATCATGATCTTCTAAGGTATAAATACCCCTCCCAAAAGACAAAGCGGGGATGCAATCTCAAACTCTCAACTACGAAATATCATTCTCAGTGTTTTCTCCTTTCTCTCTCTCTCATTCAAAGACTGACTAGACCGTCGGAGGGGATACGCCGGAGAACACTCCGGCGCCCTTCTAACTTGTTCTCCTTTGTTCCAGGAAATCACCTTTCACACGTACAGGATCGTTCCTCCTTTCCCAGGATCTCCCTTTGCCGTTTCCGGTTGCCACCGTACCTTGTAGGCTGTTTCAAGCAGCGTGTTTGGTTACTCAACCGGCTCACCCAAAGTTCACCAGGGGAGAGATCTGTTCCCAATATTTTATATATCGTGCAGGATCGAGCCCGCACAGTCACCACTGGGAAGTATCACCCTTGTTTTCTATTTTTTTTTTAATTATGGGTAATATGCCTTAAATGCGTTTTGTCTCACTTTAGCATGAAGTGATAAAAAAAATGCGTTTCCACTTGCATTTGATGCAAACAATACGAATCTATTACGATCCTTAATTCTCTTGTTCAGCTGACTTAAAACATCATTCTCTGTACCAAATGTTGCGTATGAGGCATTGATAAAGCTGGTGTACTTCTTACACCCCCGAAACTATCAATTTTGAGGCGAAGTATTTATGAAAACAATGTCGTCGTGAATAGTTATTTTTGATATACTTTATTGAAGAATTTAATTTTTTTATTTTACGTAACGGAATTCAATACATAGTTCCTGTCATTGAAGTTCAAGTTCGAGAACAAGAAATTCAAATTCCAAATTCTCTATAGGAAGAATACTCAATGAATCCAATGACCCCAACAAGCACGAATCTGTATTACAGTCTTGATCTCAATGTTCAAGAAGAACACTCGAGAACAACTTCACAAATATGCAATATATGGAGGTATATGAAACAAGAGTTTTCTACCTACGTATATGATATCTGAATACTCATATGACTTGATGAAAAATTACAGGCATGAAAATATATATAGGACAGAAACCCTTATCTAATAGAGAAACTGGTAATAACATCATTCCATCAAAACAGTTACAACTGCTTTGAACTGCTCTATGATGATCACTCTATCTAATGATGGGAGTAGTGGATAATTACTTTAACGTCAGTTACTCAGAAGAATTTGACTCAGTAAATAAGATATATATTAAATATATATATTATTTATTTATTAAAAGGTGATATGGCATGTGAGTCATCTTAAGTGTCTAATTAGAGATAGAGTCCAACATTTTTTTTTCTTCAAAGCCACCCAGTGTAGGTGGGGGTTTGGCAGGACCTCTACCTGTATATAAAACTAAAAGGAAAAATGTACAAGGGAGGAGGACATAAAGTCAAGCCTTCAGAAGTGGAAGAAAGTCAAAGCAAAAGGAAGGTGGTGACTTAAATAGAAAAGCAAAGTGGGGAATCCCCACATAACAAAATAACTGCAAACCTCAATGCAAATAAAAACTCAACACCGAACGTGAGGAGTCTGTTGAGCGTCCAAGGCGAGGATGTCTGCAATCCTAGAAGGAAGGGTTGACAAATCAGAGAATCACTGATTAAGCTGCTAAGAGCAAGCCCATTTAACCAAGAAGTCTACAGCTTGTTTCGCCTCTCGCAGGACATGGTAGACGCGAGTCGAGATAGAAGCATATAGAAGTCTAATCCGAGAAAGCAGGTAAGCATAAACTCAGCACTCAGTACCCTGAGAAGAAACCCAAGAAACCACTGTAGCTGAATTTGACTCCACTACCAATTCTGAAGCTCCCAAATCTGCGGCCAACTTCAACCCAGTACAAACAGCCTGCAACTCTGCATACAAAATTGGCTGATGACCCAGAAACAAGTCAAAAACCCTAAGTACCCGACCCTGGTGGTTTCGAATAACACCCCCTACCGTAGACAGCCCCGGATTTCCTTTAGGACAGCCATCAACACTGATCTTTAGGCAACCCGCTACATGACAACTCCTTTGGGATATCGTTGGCGTGTAAATAAAGCTGATTTTTAAAGAACTCACCAGGAATTGACTAGAGAAGATGAACAACAACCACCATAGAATAGCAGCGACAGGAGTCTAGGGTTTTTTGTTTCTCGTTGTTACTTGTTGGAAGTTGATCCAAACTATAGAGTCCAACATTAATTAGACATATATTCCAACATTCTCTTACTTGGCACACTTACCTTTGTGAGTTGTAACTTGTCGTTTAAAGTTATAGGAAAAATTTTAGCCACACCTCTTCTAGTTTATCATATCTTAAGGACATCCATTCTATTTTCTAAATCTTTACTAACACCTCCTGTAACCCTGTTAGATTAAAGTGTTAACTAGGATATAATTTTACTAAATTGTCCACAATATATTTTAGGAAAAATTTCATCCACACTCCCCCTAGATAGATATGTCTTCAATGAAACTCCATCTGTTTTCTAAAATTTTTTACATATAAAATTCGGAGAGATTAAAATTCGATTTGAACTAATTAAAATTCATTTTTTACGTATTAAAATTTGAGGAGATTAAAATTATATTTTTTACATATTAAACTTTGAACTGATTAATATATTATTTGAGTCGAATCAAATTTTAATCTGTCATAATTTTGATGCATAAAAATATAAATTTTAATACTTAAAAATTGAATTTTAATCAATTTAAATCAAAGTTTAATTGGCACAAACTTTAATAAGTAAAAAATATAAATTTTAATAGGCTTGAAGCGAATTTTAATCAACGCCTTCAGTTCAGGTAGAACTCAAATCGGATCAAATTTTAATGTGTAAAAATAAATTAATAGGCTCGAATTTTAATACGTACAAAAAATAAAATTTAATCAGCTCGAATCAAATTTTAATCGGCTCAAATTTAAATATGTAAAAAATAAATTTTAATCAGCTTAAATTTTAATATGTAGAAAAATAAATTTTAAACGACTCGAATTTTATGTAGAAAGCTTGTTTGGAGTTTCTGTAAAGGCAATTTTGATATTTTAGATGAATTTTATTTTGTTAGAAATGTTATTTTAACTGCATGGAGTGTCAGTGATATTTAAATATAAACTAGATAGGGCATGAGTAATATTTCGAGTAATAGAATGGTTGTTCTTGAAAATATGATAAATTAGAAAAAGTGTGAATCATGTTATTTTCAAATTATAATTTACACCTCAAAGCATTTTAACATTAACTTTATCTTTTAAAATTATAATTTTCAAAACAATACCCATAGCGATACCACAATCTGCCCCTTTTCTTTTTCTTAAATAAACTGATGAAGTACGCTTTACAGACAGACCCTTCTCCTCTCTGAGTCTCTTTCTCTCTTCTGAAGGGAAAAAACCCTAAAAAGAGCCAGTTACCCACAAGTAAGCTCTCTCTCTGCTCCGATACCTCACCGTACTCTTCACAAGCTGGGTCTAACGAACCTACAAAAATGTAAACCCCTAAGGCTGTCGACGCCCCTAGCTGCCCTAATCCCCTTTTCTACTCCTTTCATCCTCTTCATCACTGCACACCATATCATCCTCTCTTTACCATAGCCAATGTCACTTTCTCTGTTTTCTCTGCCTCTCTTTTCCCCAAAAGTCATTCTCTCCTATTTGCCCTAACCCAAATTACACCATTATTTCCCATCTTTGACCCTTTTCTTAGCATTTATTGCATCCCCATCCTATAATCTATGGAAACCAACAGGACTTTAAGGCCTTTACCAATCAATTGTGGGTCAAAGGTCGGTGAATCACTAGTGAATAGCATTGATGGCAGGCCTGATGCATGCCTTGGTGGGAGTACTTCGGCAGAGGGTATAAATTCAGCTATGATTGTTGAGGATGTATCTACTAAAACACAAGCACGAGTTGTTAAGGTCCTCGCTGATTTGACTAGGTTCGATAGAGAAGAAGTTACTGAGTCAGTGACCGAGCAAAGCAGGTTGCAGGAACTGATTATTGAGAATGACCTTCTCAAGCATTTGTTTGAAGCCAAAATGGAATACCCAAGTCGAAATAAGTCTCAAATTAGGTTTAGTGGCAGTAGTGATGGCAAAGGTAGTTCCAGTGCCGCTGGAAATGGAGGCAATGGACAAGCCAGGCCCAGTTGGAGAGAGAAATTAGTTGCAAGGGATGTGCCGAGGGTGAATTCACAAGGAGCAGGTATGCAGTCTTTAACCTCTTTTGATCATTTGGGCAATCCCAAGCCTAATACTGGGGGTGGGTCAAATGGTCTGAACAAGAATAGATCTTGGGTTAATATGGTTCAAAATGATCCGAGATCCCTAGTAGAACTGTAGTACATGGCCCGTAGTAAACAAATGGGAAAAGTTATGGTTAGACCTCCCAAAGAGGTAGCCCAGGAAGGATATTCCAAATGGGAAGCTTGTATTGGCAAGAAATTGCCTTTCCAAGTTGTGAAAGCATCAGCTATGAGGATGTGGGGAAACAAAGGGTTATTTGATGTTATTGCCAATGAGAATGGATTCTTCTTCTTTAAGTTCTCAAGTACAGGTAATAGAAACGAGGTCTTGGAATGGGGTCTTTGGCATATTGGTGGCCAGCCTATTATATTAAGGAAGTGGCAGCAAAGACTCAAGCTTACAAAGGAGGTTGTGAGGAAGATCCCATTTTGGGTAAAATTTTATAATATACCCACTGATATTGGACTGCCACTGGGTTTAGTTACATAGCTAGTGCAGTTGGGAAACCTTTGTATATGGATAAGTTGACAGAGGAGGGTAGTAGAGCTGCTTTTGCTAGGATTTGTGTAGAGGTTGATGCAAGTGAGCCTTTACTAGATGCCTTTGATCAAGTGATGGAAGGTGACAGTGAAGATGATAGTGAGAAAATTGAAATTAAGGTAGTTTACCAGTGGAAACCAATTCGATGTGATCAATGCAAAGTCTTTGGGCATAGCTGCCATATAATAGCTACTCCCATAAGAAGCAACAAAGTATTGCGAAGGAAAACGCTTATGCTAATTCTAAAGCGTTTGACCAAGTTGAGGTTAGGGACTGTGTTCAGGGTGAACTAGTCAGAAATGAGGATGCTGGATACAAAGGGGTACAAAGTCCGGCACAAAATCATCATCTTAGTTTAGATGGACAAAGTGAACAGTGGCAAATAGTGAAGAGCAAAGGGAAGGAGAAAGTGATAGAAGAGCAACCTTTAAGACCGGAGGTAAGCTTGTCATCTGAAATAGAGTGCTCAGTGAAGAGAGCTGTAGTACCTTCCAACAAGTTCCAGGCTCTGGATTTAGTACCAGCTACAGAGATGGAGGAGACAGAAGAGAGCGCTAGTGATTTTGAGTCTCCTGAACCGGGATCCATGATGGACAAAATCAAGGCCATTGACGAGGTGGAAAAGTTACTTTCTACATCAACTAGAAAGAAACAGAGGAAAACCAGAGGAAAGAGTAAACAATCTTTGAACTCAAGATTGGTGGCTCCCTGCAATGGGTTGAGATCGTCACTGTCACATAAAATTTCTAATGACTAGTTTCTATTGCTGGAATGTGAGGGGGTTGAATGGTCCTGTGAAGCAAGCGGAAGTATGGTAACAAGTGAACCAATATGGTGTTGGTTTGTGCTGCCTTGTCTAAACCAAGGTTAGAAAGATTAATTGTGATGTTATTTTTAGACGAATGTTGCCGAATTGGAGACTCATTGATAATTATGATCACTCAACTAGAGGGAGAGTATGGGTATGTTGGGATCCCATTTTTTTTTGATGTAAGATTGGACGGGCTTACTGACCAGGTTGTGCATTGCAATATTGTTAACCTGACTGACCAGAAGATTTTTTCTGCATCTTTTGTTTATGCCCAGAATGAGGAGGGACTTAGAAAGCAATTATGGTATAATCTTGAACAAAGGGCCGCGGCTGTACAGGAACAAGCATGGATTGTTTTGGGAGACTTTAATGTGCTCAAATCCAACTCTGAGAAGGTAAGAGAGGTTAGTGTGAGAGACAAAGGGAGTGAGGATTTTTGTGAATGCTTATTCAGGACTAATCTTGAAGACTTAAAATATTTGAGAAACCAATACACATGGTAACAGGAGATTTGATGGTGGTTTAATTGCTAAGAAGCTGGATAGAGTGTTGATTAATGAGGTTTGGCGAAGAGCCTATCCAAATTCAAAAGCTAATTTTCTTACCCCAGGAATTTCCGACCATTCATTAGCATTGGTCAGAATGGGGTTAGAACTCCCGAAGGGTAGGAAGTCATTCAAATTCTTTAATTTTTGGGCTAATAATCAGGATTTCTTACCAACTGTCACTAGAGTTTGGGCCACTCAAATAAGAGGATCTCCTATGTTCAAAATCTATCGAAACCTGAAGCTTCTCAAGAAAGAATTAAAGGATTTGAATAAGAGGAATTACAGTGATATATCATCCAAAGTTATAGTTGCAAGGCAGGCCCTCCATGATATTCAAACAAAAGCTGATAAAAGTCCTTTGAACATGCACCTATGAGAGGAAGAAAGAAAGCAGTTGAGAAAGTATGTTGAACTCAGGGAAGCAGAGGAAAGTTTTTTTAGGCAGAAATCTAGAGTCCAGTGGCTAAACTTGGGGAATCAAAACACGAGTTTCTTCTTCAAGCATATTAATAAGCAAAGAATACAGAGGAGGATCACTACCATTCAGAAAGAAGATGGGACCAAGGTCACTGAGTATCGTGAAATTTAGGAGGAGGTTGTTAGCTATTACCACCAGCTGCTTGGTGGGTCTCTTCCTAGTTCTACAATACCTATGCAGTGGGTTAATCACTACATCAGAAGGAGAATCTCTTTAGATTTTACAGCTCATTTGTCCCTTGATGTCACCAGAGATGAAATCAAGCGTGCATTATTCTCAATGAAGGATGGGAAGGCCCCAGGTCCAGATGGCTATTCTACTGGATTCTTCAAGAAAACATGGCATATTGTGGGTGATGATGTGACTGATGCCATCATGTCGTTTTTTGTTTCTGGGAAGTTGTTGAGGGAAGTTAATTCTACAACTATTGCTTTGATTTCCAAGGTACTTAATCCATCTATGCTAAATGATTACCGGCCAATTTCATGTTGCAACATCATTTACAAATGTATTTCAAAAATTTTGGCCATCAGAATCAAAAGAGTGCTGCCTGAGCTAATTGACAAATCTCAAACTGCATTCATACAAGGTAGAAAAATGTTTGATAACATGCTACTTTCCCAAGAACTCTTAAGGAACTATCATTTGGATAGAGGGAGTCCTAGACGTATATTGAAAATTGACCTTATGAAGGCTTATTATAATATAAGGTGGGAGTTTATTCTAGAAGTGATGCAAGCCATGGGTTTTCCCCAACAGTTGATTAGATGGGTTTCAGACGTGGATTACTTCTCTTATGTACTCAGTGAGTCTTAACGGTGAGTTGAAAGGCTATTTTGAAGGAAAAAAAGGTTTAAGACAGGGAGATCCCTTGTCTCCTTATCTTTCTGTGCTTGCAACGGAGGTTTTTAATGGCATTATGTAGGAGGCAGCTAAGCTGGGTAAATTCAAGTATCATTGGAGATGTGGCAAGGAGCATATTTCTCACCTTTGCTTTGCTGACGATGTTATGATCTTCAGTAAAGGAAATCTTGATTCAATTAGGACTATCAAGGATGCCCTCCAGATTTTTGAAGAACTTTCTGGGCTTAAAGCTAACCCAAGCAAGTGTCATTTTTACTGCTCTGGCATTAATAATGTGGATAAAGTGGAGATCATGCAGTTAATGGGGTTTCCGAAAGGTGAATTGCCTATGAGATATCTGAGTATTCCTCTCATTATCACTAAATTGAGGGCTGGGGATTGTCAACTGTTGGTTGAGAAGATTACTACCATTGTAAGTTCCTGGTGCAACAAATCACTTTCATATGCTGACAGAGTACAACTGATCAGCTCAGTTCTCTTTTCAATTCAAGGTTTTTGGTCTTCTTTATTTATATTGCCAAAAAAAGTAGTCAAAGCGGCGGAGCAAACTATGAGAAGATTCTTATGGTCTGGTATGGATCTTAAAATGTCTGGAGCAAAGGTGGCTTGGGACAAAGTGTGTCTCCCAAAGGATGAAGGGGGACTTGGGTTTAAAAGCATGGAACAATGGAACAAAACTGTTGTTATGAAACATCTATGGAATGTTATAAGCAAAAGTGACAACTCAATATGGGTGGATTGGATTTATTTGTATCTTCTAAAAGACAGGAGCTTCTGGAGTGTGAAAATTCCTCAAAAGTCATCTTGGGCATGGAGAAAGATTCTAAATTTGAGAAAGGAAAGTTTCACAAAGGTGAATTACAAGATTGGGAATGGTGACTCAACTTTTCTCTGGTTTGATCCATGGCATCCAATAGGTTCTATCTACCAACATATGGGAGAGTCCATTATCAGGGAATCAGGGCTTGGGAGAGACGCTAAAGTTAGTTCTATAATTAATAATGGTGATTGGGACTGGCCGACGGCAAATGGGAACATGATGGAGCTACTAAGAGGTATTTCTCCTAATATGAAACCTGTTCTGAGTCAGAGGGACTGTGTCTTGTGGCTGCCTTCTAGAACCAAGATTTTTAGCTCTAAATCTGCTTGGGAGGCAAGTAGAGAGAACGGCCATATGCAAGATTGGGCTGATATTGTATGGTTTTCTGGTGTTGTGCCTAGATACATTTTTATTTTATGGCTGACTATTCAAAACAGGCTTTCCACCCAAGACAAGCTTATATCATATGGTGTTATCCATTTAACTCACTGTGTGTTTTGTAGAGAAGTAATGCAAACTCATAACCACCTCTTTTTTGAATGCCATTTCACTGAGAGAATATGGACTTCATTGAAAGACAAAGTGAATGTCCAATGGCCAAGACTTGATTGGCTTGATTTGGTTAACTGGTATGCTACAAATATGAAGGGAAAGGCTTTTCCAAAGCTAACTTGCAAATTGATGCTCGCCACCTCAATTTGTATGATTTGGAGGGAGAGGAATCACAGGGTTTTTAAAAACTCCTATAGAGATGTGGTCTCCATTTATAAGGAGATAGTGGAAAATGTTAGACTCAAGCTTCATGTCTGCCGTGGAATCAAAAGAACAATCCTAATACATGGTTGCAAAGACAATGGGGCTTGCCTGACAATATCTTTGTTCTTTGCTCACCGTATGTGGCTGTTACTCGTTGGTGTTGGCCTTTCCAGTGGAATGCTTGTGACCCGTTTGTTTATGAGGTATGTGTGGAGGGTGTGGTGCTCTGGTTACGTCAATGGTGCAATGGTTCATCCTCTATTTTTGCTGCTTGTTTCGTGTTGTCACATGCTACGGGTTTCGTGCTGTGTGGGTGCTGCTTGTTTGTTGCTGGTGGTTGTTCTGCTTGCTGGGGATGTCTTGTGTTTTGTATCACTATGGGGGCAAGCTTACAGGGCCAGTGTGTTGCTGGTTTTTGTCTTGCCCTGCTGCTGCTTGGGCTTGCTGGAGCCTGGTCTTCCTGAGTGACTTCTTGTTTTGTTTTGGATGCATCATGCTGTTGTCTTTCTTGCTGATGCTTGAATTGGAGGTTATGTTTGCTGCTGATGGTTCGCTAGTTTTGCTGGCTGCTCCCTCCTTCTTTCTTTTCTGGATGCTCCATCAGATAAGCTTCTGTTTTGTACATTTTTTGTTCAGTCCTTTTGGATTTGTATTCCTCGTTTTTTATTTTGCTGATTGGGATGGTTGATCTTCTTCTCCACTCATTAATAAATTCTATCTTCGTATCAGAGCGCGCAATCCTTAGCTGCTATATTTTTCATTCAAATCCGCTGCACCCATAATTGGCAGTCCTTATTGCAGTCCATTCTCTTGTTCTTTTTGTCTCCGACTATTTGGATCTGACTCGATTTATCTGTACAAATAAGGTTGTTGTTCTGCTTAAAGTGTTGACCGAGGTAGAATTTTCTTCAGGCCATTTAGCCCGAGACACAATACGGTGGTTCAAATCCCTCCTGCGTTGCTGTCTACTGAAGTGCATACAATATAGGCCTTTCAAGGCCATTGTCATTGAGGTTGTCAATCGTGTTATTTTTGTTCTATGTTATTTTTGTGTCGGATTACTTTTGGTACATTTCGTGTCAATATTCGTGTAGTAAAAAATTATTTAATTTCATAACAGTTCATATAATACTATTTAAAAAATTAAAAAAAATTTATTTTTTGTCTACAATACTTGTTAAATATTTTTTTTTCTATCTACAACACCTGATAATCGTATTATTCATGTCGAACCTTAATTTGACCCATTTATTATTCGTGTCCAACGTTAATTTGACTTATTTATTATTTGTGTCAATTAATTGTATTATTTTTTAGTTTTGTATCGAGCCCATGTTAATGGATAAAATTGACACTCCTAATTGTCGTCAATCCTCGTTACCAGAAGGATTACAGAAAAGCACTTCATGAAGACTAAAGACTTTTGAGAAGACGGAGACTTCAAAGTAGTGCAAATGATTTTTCATTAGGGAAAAAAAATAGAGTAAAAAAATAAAGAAAAAAAATCCCTCAATAAAAAAAAAAGGCAAAATAAAAAATTTACATGTAGTTATTCCATGTTCATTCACCCCGATCTATTATTCACACCAAAGCTATATCATCTGATTGACAACCAACCATCCCATTTTTCAATTTAAGTTGGATATTTCAACATATTTTAGTGTACCAATTTAAGGGGGAGTATTAGAGATATGATAAGATTAGAAAGAATTCATCAATATTCAAGTAAATATATGATAGGATTTAAAGAGATCCATCGATATCTAGGTTTGTTTGGATAAGTAGAGATGATGTTAGACATGTGTAATTTATCTTTATCTAATGTGTAATTCTCACCATATAAATATGGTTGAACCATATGTAATTAATTACTTTCAATAATACATCAATGTAACTCATAGGTGTTGTCCGTGGATGTAAGCAGTTTGTTGAACCACATAATCGTTTGTGTTTTGTTTTTTTTTAAGTGATTTTACGTCCGATAACACGTTTATTAAGATTCATTCTCCCGTTAAATCTGTATCAAGATATCATTATTATGTTTTGTTTATTGATGATGCTACTCGTTATATGTGGTTCTTATTGGATATAATGGTCTTTAAATAAATATTTTGAGCAACCTAAGGCTTAAATTAAAGTGGGACTCGAAATTAGTGGGACCAAGTCTAAATATGTTATCTTCCACGAGGAGATGAGTGTGGTATATTTATTTGTTTGAAACCATTAAATATTAAATAAGAAATTGTTAAAGTATTTTCAAAATAAAAACTTTTTTGGGAGGTTATTTTTTAAAAACTCTTTGTAACTTTTGAGAGAACTTGAAAAGGTGTGAATAAAGGATAACATAAAATATTACTAGTTCAAAATTGGTAACTTTTGATTAAAGACGTCAATCCAAATAGTTACATCCTTTCATAAAGTCACCATTAACATTTTTTATTTAAAAGACACAATTACAAATAATTACAACTTTTCATAAAAATCACATTTGATATCTTTTGGTTAAAAAATATAATTTCAAATGGTTGTATCTTTTCATAAAGTCACAATTGATACCCTTTGAACCAAAATGAACCATTACATATGGTTGCACACTTTATGAAAAGTCACTAGTAAGTCTATAAATAGGTGATGTCTTGCACTCTTAAATAATACCATTGAACAATTCTTACTTCTTTGCATTATCTCAATTCCAAATTCTGTATTTAGTATTTCTGTCTCTCTCTCTCTCTATGTGGATATTGTTGTATTATTCTTTCTTGTTCGGTTCAAGTATAAACACACAATTGTGTTCATTTGAATCTTTAAGATTGAAGTGCTGCATTTTCATGAATAAATTTATTTCTATCTTAAGAAACAGTTGCTTATCAACCTTAAGAACTGAAAGGACGCAAATTTGTTTTAAAAAAATTGTGATTATACAAGGCTCTTATTACTATTATTATTTCTAGAAATCCAGATCCATATTATTATTGCAGTTTTGTATCACTGTATGTGTATTTCAGTTTCTATTTTTAACATTCTTTTTTTAATTAAATTATTTGCATATAACAATATACTTAAGAGATTTAGATTTTATTACAGTAATTAGTTATTTAATCTGATATTATAGTTATATCATTTCAAGTAAAAGTTAGAGGTGTTTTCTTGTTTTATTTGATTTAAGAAAAGTATTGTCAATATCTTTGATACTCATGTTAAATTTTTTCTTTTAAGTGATGGTGGTGGTGAATATAAAGCTCAAGCCATTGATCATTTTTTTGGCAAGTTGTATTATTCGTCAGTTGTCTTGCCCCCACACTTCTCAATAAAATGGTGTGGCCCAACGCAAATACATACTTGTTATGGAAACTTGGTTAACTTTTTTATTCCATAGTCGTGCTCCTCTTCATTTATGGGTTGAAGCTTTTTCTATAGTTGCCTATTTGATTAACCGACTTCCTACTCCTGTTTTGAGAAATACAACTTCGTACATATCTTTATATGGCCAGGACCTCGATTACTCACTTTTTTTTTTTTTTGGAAGGGGGACTTGAACCCTTGAACTCAAAAAGACAAAACCTAAACAAAATAAGGAATACTCACAGCTAAGACCCTTTGGATGCTTAAGTTATCCATTCTTTCTTAGGAATCAGTGAATTTCACAAGGGTAAGGGTTTCCGTTGCTTGGAATCCTCCTCAGGCAGAGTATATATTTCTCTGTCTTGTCGTATTCAATGAAATGATTTTCTCTTGTCGCTCTCGTGACGTCTTGCACATGCCACCTACTCTTCATGGTGAATATCTATGATATATCGATTTTCCTTGTGGATTTCTCCTGATGAGTTGCAACCAAGCTCTTCGTCTTTGACAAAGCTTCCTCCATCTTCTATTACTTCACTAGTAATTGCTGCATCGACCCCATTTAGCGGCCATCTTGGCCCATCAGGTTCAGGTTCTTCATCAGCAGATTCTAGTTCCCCACCTTCCTTCTTCTGGTTCGACATGTTTTCCCAAAGATGGTCACCTCGAAATTGTTCTTCCCATTCCTCCCTCTTTGATAAATCATAACAGCACAAATACTAGTGTTTCCACCCATCCAATGATAACCCGCAGTAAATCCCGTCACTCTCCTTACCCAATTTGCTCTTTGGTTTCTTCCACTTTGTCTTCTTCACATTCATGTCTTCTTGCTGCCATTGAAAATAATGCCGAGCTGACAAACCTTCACTCAACCTTGAAACTTCTTCACTGGCAAACTACCATGGAGAAGGAATTAGCGGTTCTCCACAGCAGTGGAACATGGAGTTTGGTTCCCCGAAATCTAGACAATTATGTTATTAACACTAAATGAGTCTACAAAACCAAGTTCTTACCTTCAGGTGATGTTGAATGATACAAAGCCCGATTGGTGGCCAAATGCTACTCCTAACTCCATGGCATCGATTTTGATGAAACCTTTACTTTGGTGGTAAAAGCTACTACTATTTTTATAGTTCTCGTTGTCACTCATATACACGGTAGGAAAATTCATCAATTAGACGCGAAAAATGCATTCTTGCATGGCTCTCTTCGTTTTGTGGATGCTCAATTTCCCCACCGGGTATGTCGACTTCACCACGCCCTTTAAGGTTTGCGTCAAGCCCCAAGAGCTTGGTTTGATCGGTTTAATCATCATTTATATACTCTGGGATTTCATCAAAATGTTGGGGACAATTACATGTTCCCCCTTCACGATCATAATCACATCGTTGTTATTCTTCTTTACATCGATGATATGATCATCACCAACAAAGGTGAAACTCTTTGCATAGCACTATCACCCAGCTTGGCTTTGAGTTCTCTATGAAGGACCTTGGGTTGCTACACTATTTTTTGGGCATCGAGGCCTATTCGTTATCCCATGGACTGTTTCTCTCTCAAGTCAAGAATGCCCACGATTTGATTGCTTGTGCTTCGATGATAGATTGTAAATCCCTTGCTACCCCCCTGAATTGAATGTCCATCAGAAACTTTTTGCAGTTGGTATTCCCCTTGCCGGTCCAACAGCCTTTAGGAGTATTATGGGTGCCTTGCAATATTGAACTGCATTTAGCGTAAACTCTGTTAGTCAACATATGCATTCGCCCATTCTTGCCCACCTAGGCGTTGTTAAATGTATTCTTCGCTATATTAAAGGGACATTCACTTATGTTCTTTTCCTTCATGCTAATAGTTCTATTGACTTAACGAGCTATAGCGATGCCGATTGGGCAGGGTGTCCAAACACTAGACGGTCTACTACTGGTTACGCCATTTTCCTTGGTACCAACTGTGTTTCTTGGAGTTCAAAGAAACAACCTACTATTGATCTTTTGAATGCTGAGGCGGAATGTCGTGCACTTGCCCATGTCACGGCTGACATGATTTAGATTACTTATCTTTTTCAAGATTTAAATGTCACCTTGAGTCAACTCCCTTAGTTATTTTGTGACAACAATAGTGTTGTTTCTATGGCTTCTAATCCAATTTTCCATGCTTGAACCAAACATATTGAACTCGACTACCATTTTGTTCATGAGAAAGTTGTTTCGGGGTCGCTGTTTGTTCGTTATGTTCTATCTACTGAACAACTTGCTGACATCTTCACAAAAAGTCTACCTAACCGTTTGTTCACTGATTTTGCATTCAAGCTGGGTGTGTCGGTTCCGTCGCCCTCACCTTGAGGGGGGGGTGATAAGGATAAGAATCAAGAAGATCAACTCCAATCTATGTGTGATTGCAATCTTCTAGAATAGTGTTTGGACCTAAAAATGCAAAATTATGAGAATGTTCGATGCACCAACACCTCGCGAATTGGAGGTCACGTGGAAAAAATTAAGAAAAGGTGAGAGATGGTCAAACACAATTTTATTTGAAAAAAAGGATAACTGCTTGGGAGTTTTTTTTTTATTTTTTTTCGGTAAGTAAGATAATATCATAAAAGAAAAGTGAACATGTCCATAAGTGAAACCAAAAGGGATGATTGATCTTCTTTAAACAAGAAAAAGATTACAAGTTAAATAACCGTCGAAAAATAGTGACTATAAAAAATAGAAAAAGAGGAAATTGAAGGATACATTTAAACCCTCACAAGACCCAAGATATAGGCGTTTTTAGGAGTAGTGTTAGGTTAGTTTTTAGTAAGTAGTTACTACAATAATTAAGGTTGTTAATTCAGTTTTTTTATAACTAAAAACCCTTCAATGGAATTAATAAAGGGATTCTTTTTTATTAATTCACGATTTTGTGTGCTTACTGTTTTAAATTCATCTAAAGAAGTCCTAAAACAAGGCAATTGAACCCATCACTAATAATCACCTAAAAACTGTGTATTGATTGAGTCTCCTCTGTTGATAACAATAGATGTTGGAGTGACAATATTTTGTCATGCCTAGTGAGACAACATTGTGAAGTTGGATCAAATAAAATTGTGTGAACAAGGAAGGCGGTCAACAAATGTGTGTCCTCAAACCTTGCTATATGTAGGCTATCAACAAATTAAATCATGGCCGATCTGAATCTAAATTCAATGTATAAATTTTGATCTGGAAATTGAATTAATTTTAATCATGCAATTTATATCTGAATTAAACATGATAAAAAGGCAAGCTTTTACAAATCTGCTCATATCTAATATCTTTTTTGTTTTGTTTTTTTATTCCAAAAGAAACTGGTGAAACACTCAATCCCTCACTTTGAAAGAATTTAACCACCGATTAGAATGTCTAAATATCTCAATTATGTTGAATTTTAGAAAATTATATGTAAAGTTCAAGTCAATTTCATCAAATAAATAGTTAATTTCGTCATGTGTGTATATAAAGAGACTTCAGATTGGGTCACAGTGTAATTGAATATTCATATATAAAAATTAAAATCCATGAAGAATGATATAACGAACTCAAAATTTATTTAAAAATATTAAAAAGGAGACTATTTTTCCCCCTTCTAGTGCTTTTTAAATATAACTAGTTATCAATTTGCCATAGGGACAAAATTTTGATCTCAACCTTTATTACAAATATGAAATGACCATCAGAGATGATTGAAAGCTCCAAACCATGTTCCCAATACTTAACGAGAAGACATACAATTCTAATTTTTTTGAGTAAGAAGCACTTGGTTGATCATTTTCTCCAGAATCACATAAGCTGCACCTGCAGTGGCCTCCGCAGCCTTTTTCTTCCAATCCAATGCATTATTCTTCATCTCTTTGCCTCTCTCTCCATTCATCAACTCTCTCACAAAGCTCTCAATTTTATTTCTCGTAGCATCATTTTCTATCTCCATGCCAATGCCCCATTGACTGCAGCAAAACCAACAATTGGTCTGTTGATCAGCAAAAAATGGCCAACAAATCATTGGCACTCCGGCACTTATGCTTTCAAGAGTTGAATTCCACCCACAGTGAGTTAAGAATCCTCCAATTGCCGGGTGGGCGAGAACTTTTTCTTGTGGGCACCACCTTGCTAACAGGCCTCTATCTTTTATCTCCTCCACAAATTCAGGTGGAAGAACAGCCAAATCACCAATAACAAGATCAGACCTTATTATCCACAAAAAGTTTTGATTGCTATTAGCTAGTCCCCAAGAAAATTCAATCATTTGGTTTGGTGTCATGACAGTGAAGCTTCCAAAATTCACATACACCACAGATTTATGTTCTTTCGTGTCAAGCCATTGAAGACACTCAGACTCTTCTTTCCAAAGATTTAATCCAAGCAACTTCAAGTCGTTATCTTGGATATGATTTTGGAGAATAGGCAATGGTCCGACTGAATAAATTGGAGGAAGAATAGATGAAAGAGCATCAATAACATCATGCTTTAGTTCATCGAATGAGTTCAAAATTATCGCAGAGGCCTTTTTAGCCTTTTCAAATTCACTTATAATAACTTTCAACATAAAATCATTTGGGTCTGTTGTTCTTATGAAACTTGGAAAATCCTTCAAACGTATACCTTTCATACTAGGTATCCAATCTATGATGGTTTCCAAATATCCATTTGTTAAGTAACTAGCATCTGCACATCAAGAAAATTAAAATGCCAATGTGAAAATAAAACTAGTGAAACAGTGTCTTCAAGATTTACTTTTGATTCACATTCAATGTAACAAAATTCATTTCAAACATGCATACATAAATGTAAGTATTTAAAGGGACATACATATGAGCCACGACAAAATGAGTAACAAAAAGAGACACACACCTACATAATTGTGTGATGTATATTATATACGCACATGATGAAGATTTCTTGGTGGTTGATTACCTTCCATCGTTTGGAAGCTATTCTCGATAGCGTTTTTTAAAATTAAAGTAAAACTCACTATTTATAAGTTATCCTTTAGGCATACGTGGTAGGAAGCCTACTATTAAGAAAAATTAAATAAAAGCGTAATGTAAATCAACACACTTGTGGCATGAGAATTGGCACTTGCTTGGGCCTCTTCTTCTTAAATGGTTGAAGATAATCATTAAACTTCCAAATCTGCCATCTACCACAAAGGTAGAAACCATTGTTAATGGTACTTGTTGGGAATGATCTTCTTCAGGTACTCCAGAGCTACTGCAAATTATCAATTCTATGTCGTCCTATAATCTCAACTCTCTGCATGCTGATAGAATTAAATGGCTCCTGAATCCTAGTGGTAATTATACATCTCATTCAGCATGGAAATCTTTTTATACCTCTAGTCCTAAGGTTCCTTGGCACATGCTTGTATGGTATCCTCAATACATCCCTAGGATGTCTTTTGTTCTCTTGATTTCTATTCATGGGAAGCTTGGAACGAAGGATCGAATCAAGACTTATGTGCAAAACATCAATATGACATGTGTCTTTTATAGACTAACAGTAGAAAGAATCAATCATTTGTTTTTTGAATACCCTTTCGCAAGTGAAATATAGAACATGGAGTTTAGTCATTCTATGGCCTCTTGGTTCCAGCCCTGTTGGTTACAGCTATCCACTTGGCCTCCACCCAGTGGAAAGGGAAATCCCTCAAATCCATTGTGCTCAAGCTCAGCCTTTCCAGTTCTGTCCATATGATTTGGTGAGAAAGAAATGTCAAAGTCTTCAAGAATGAATTCAAGGATGCAACTACGGTTTTGAAGTCCATCCTTCATGTTATTAGCAGTAAACTTCTGCCAACTTCAAACAATCCATCCGGAATAT